TTTCCCAGGGCCGAACGATCGGTCCCAACACGACTCCATCGGCGGGAAAGAGATCGAGAGGGTACAAGCCGGGGTCCTGGCGGCTCGATTAGGGGGCGCCCCGGCGTCCTCGGCGCGGGCTGTCCGTGGGGATCATTAGTTTCGAGTCTCCGCCGGTGGTACTCCGGCGCAGGAATAGCGAATTTAAAAGAAGTCCCCCTCGGACAAGCGGTTTCGTGTAACCGAGATCCGCGGATGCATCTCCCGGCGGATCCACCACCGTGTTCCGATCCCCTTCGCCGTCTCCTCCTCGCGCCCAGGCCCCATGCCTCTCTTCCTCCGCCGGCTGCGTATCCTTGTCACGAAGCTCTCTCGGAGTTGCGGTAGATCGTGTCCTTGAGCGGTACATCTCCCTGTTCCTTCCACTCCGTTCCGTTCTTTTTCCTCGTCTTGTTCTTCGTAGTCGGGCTCTCTCTCTCTCTCTCTCTCTCTCTCTCTCGGGCCGGGTTCTTTCGTTCCCTTCCTCCCTCGGCTGGCTCGCCTATTCCTGGCCACTCCATTTGCATCGGCCAACAAGAACAGGACAATGACGGCGAGGAGGAGGAGGAGGAGGAAAGGGGGGCCGGGGAGGAAGCGCGAGGGAGACGAGCGAGGAGCAGAAGAGGATCCGCTTAGACGGCCGGAAAAATCGTGGAACACGAAAGCGAGCCGCTCGTGTGCGATCGAGGGAGAAAGACAAAATGTCGCGAGGGGGACGGTTTTACATGGCCGCGCCGTCCTGCTGGCTACGTAATATCTCCTCTGCCGGGTGCACGCCTGCGCCACCGTCGCCACCGAGGAGAAAGAGGACGACGAAGAGGACGAAGAGGAGGACGGGGACGGGCTATGAGGACGACGCAGAAGCTGAAGCATCCGGTCGCCGGATCGTTTCGCGGCTCGGAACTCGTGTCTTGAATTTGCAACCGCTCCAAGCAATCTGATAAGCCGGCCCCCACGGATCCCGGGTCGTTTGCTTTTTACACGGTTCGTGCACCGGCCTCGTCTTATTTTGCCCGGGGAGCAGCATCCTGGTCCGATCACGGCCCCGGCAATAACCTCGGACCTATATCGCTGCTGCCGCAGCGCCGGTTCCCGATAGACATTCTTCTCTAGCCTGCCGAAGGACCTCCGCGGCGCCAAACATTCCGTTCTAATGCGTCCTGTCAGCTCGGAGGACGCGAGCCAGCGAGCGAAGGATCTCTTCGCTTCCGCGGCGATCTTGGATCGACGCCGCGGGCCAAGCTCCGGGCCGAATTACGCAAACGAAGGGAACTATTGGGTTGGCAACTAAGTAATCGCCGATTTCAGTTATAGATGTCTCTCACTCCCATTTTTATGATATCCGTAAATGTTATATTATGAAATTATTATTATTATTATTATTATTATGTTATTTTTTATTATCCGTGAATGTTAGCAAGCGGGCAAATTGAATGCAGCGGTCAAGGAAAAGCGACCAGAATTGGTCGATCGTAAAGGTGTCATTTTCCAGCAGGACAATGCCAGGCCGCACACGTCTTTGTCCACTCGGCAAAAATTGATGGATATTGGTTGGGAATCGATGTTACA